TAATTGAATGGTAATTCATTAAATTAAGAATACTTAGGGGCAAGATTAAAGATCTAGTAACTCCAATCGAGTTTAATAACCGATCAAACGATGGAATCACTACACTAGTTGGAGGAACGAGGCCTAACATTAAGCTTTTAAGCACAAATCAAAAATCCAAAGCCATCAAAGCTAGGAGGCAAAAAGAAATCCTAATGGAGGCTAATGACTCGGTTAGAGTTCAATAAGTAATTAAAGCGGTTGGGCGTAGGCTCATAAAGGTAAGTCACAATATATGGATGGTTATCACTTTCAAAAGTTTATAAAAATCCAATATATTTCGAGTTAGTTAGAAGAGACAAAAAATTTAAGTAATCAAGGCCAAGGGTAAGAAAATTTTGATAGCACTACGAGATACGATCTAGTTGTATGTCTAGAATGAGGCGATAAATGGGGGATTGAGTACCGACAAGGTAGGGCAACCTACATTTCTCTTAGGTAAGAAACTAACCATTGTTATCAATCTTATTGATATATTTTAGTAACATCAAAAGACGAAACCATCATTCAAGAGACTCATATTTCCTACCCATTCTTTCATGTAGAGTCGCCTCTCAATAGACCATTCTTTCATGTAGAGTTGCCTTATATTAGACCATTTCCTAAGACGGGATCACCTAATAATAGATCATTTACTTAGGCAAGGTCGTCTTATAATAGATCGTTTCCTCAAACATGATCACCTAATAATAGATCATTTGTTTAGGTAGGGTCGCCTCACGGTAGACCATTTACTCATGTAGGGTTGCCTCTCAATAGACCATTCTTTCAAGTAGGGTCGCCTCTCAATAGACCATTCTTTTAAGCGGGGTTGCTTTATAATATACCATTTCCTCAAGCAGGATCACCTAATAATAGATCATTTACTCGGGCAAGATCGCCTTATAATAGACCGTTTCCTCGAAGTAGGATTGCTTAATAATAGATCATTTGTTTAGGTAGGGTTGCCTCTTTAATAGACCATTCTTTCGGGTAGGGTCGCCTCTCAATAGACCATTCTTTCGGGTAGGGTTGCCTTATAATAGACCATTTTCTCAAGTAGGATCGCCTAATAATAGATCATTTATTTAGGCGGGGTTGCTTTACGGTAGATCATTCTCTCGAGCGGGATCGCCTAATAATAGATAATTTATTTTGACGAGGATCGTCTCATAGTAGACTATTTACTTAAGTAGGGTCGTTTCTCAATTAACCATTCTTTAGAAAAGATCGCTTAATAATAGATCATTCATTCGAGTAGGGTTGCCTTACGGTAGACCATTCACTTAGGTAGGGTCACCTCACAATAGATTATTCTTTCAGGCGGGATCACTTGCTAATAGATCATTTACTTAAGCGGGGTCGCCTTATAATAGACCATTCTTTTGGACAAGATCGCCTAATAGTAGATCATTCATTTAGGCAAGATCGTTACATAATAGACCATTCACTTAGGCGGTGCTCGCCTCACAATAGACCATTACTTAGTTAATTGTTTATGATAGGTTGCCCTTAACAATAAGGCCACACATTGCATGTTTAGTTTTTTAGGGTAGGTCGCCCATGACAACAAGACCATGTACTTGCATCTTTTATTTTTCATATATTGTGTACTTAATTTTTCATTTTCTCGTAAAAAAACACAAAAAAAGGAATTTCTTTACAAGCTCACTAAAAAAATCTATTCGAAGTTCACACTTCAACTAAGATTTGCATCGTAAGCATTGTAAAGAGGGGCCAACTGTTATAACCCAATTTTGGGTTCCTTGAAAAATAAAAAAAATACAAAAAAGAAAAAAATATAAAAAATACTGAATCTCCAGTAAAATCATTTGAAGATCTATCAAAATCTTCCATTAATGTTTTTTTGAATTGGAATCTCCTTATTTTTAGCTAATCAAATCTCAAAACTAAGATTTGATAGTTAGAATTTGAATTTAAATGGGTGAACTTTGGGAGAGATTTTAGGAGGTTTTGGCCTATAAAAAGCTTTCGGATTTTGGTTTACGGGGGATACAAAAAAAAAAAAACAACAACTAGAGAGCCAAAAAAAAGAAAAAAATACACAAAAAATATATTAAAAACCGGATTGAAAATTGCCAAACATGCCCTAACCCAAAATCTAAACCCATTAACCCGTTTACCCGATCGAAGGTTTTGGACCTTAATTAATCGATTTTTGATTAGTTTTAACCTCAATAAACACCACTCGTGTGTAGCGCATCACTAGATTGGTCTATCCATACCGATTAAAGAGAGAACCGATTACGGAGGAGAGAAAAATCGAAGATTAGACCATTAGACCCGACCCATAAAAGACCCGATCATTTCTCTAAACTTCGATCACCAACATGAGATCTATCACCACGGATCTAACCTCCCATCCCTCCCGATTGTTTCTATTTAAAAATCATGACCTAAAGACACCAAAAAATGATTTAATTGAATGAGATTCGTTTTCGATCCGTTTTGATAAACTCAAAAAAATTGATCGACCTAGAAGGAATTGGAGGTCCTAACACCACAAAAATCCTTCTCTCAACCTCGTAAGTCGATCGGTGTGCTTGGAATCCCGAAAGGAGGTCGGATTCATCGTTGGTGAAAAAGAAGTTCCGAGTCAAATCTTTAGAGGCTCCGATCTCCCTCCTCTGGTGTCATCTCTTGTCGATGCAACTACGAGTTGGACTCGTAACGATCTAATCTACAAAGTGGGAGGGGGGTCCATGTGCCTAAAGGGTTACCGAAAGACTAACAATCACTTGGCGGTGACTCTTGGCATTCTAGGGGTATTTTTGTAATTTTATAGTGTAAGGTGAATTTTGGGTTGTTTGGTTTGTTCTTTTTATTTTATGTATCTTGTAATATTTTTTTAGTCTTATGTATGTTAGAAAATTTAGAGATACTTAGGTGTGAAATTTATTTTAATACGTGATTTTTGATATGATTAAAATATTGGATCGGACGGATGATGATTTCAATATATTTAATTTCTCAAAATTTATTTTAGTTGATTTTAGTTAATTAAAATTTTAGATTTTGTTTAAGAAAATAAAAAAATATTTAAAATTTTCGACGAAGTCTCCTATCCGATAGGGAATGACGTCACCAAAAACAATATCCAAAATTTTTCGACGAAGTCTCCTATCTAATAGGGACCGACGTCACCAAAAATCACCTTTTAATCGGGATGTCCTCTAACACTTCGGTTGTGTCAAGGCTTATAGTGGATCCAATGTTTGAACCGACGTATCGCTTGATGAAGGGTACCGATGATCGTTTCAATAGATGCCACACTCAACAACTAAAAAATTTAATTCGGCTTTAAAAATTAGAGTGTAAAAAATCAGAAAATAATTTGACATGAATAAAACATTTCGGGAGATAAATTTAGGGTTAAACTATACATGATACCTTTCTTCGGAAATGACACTTTTGGGTGAATAAATCTCCTCCCAAAAGTGTAACCAACTCCTTACGATAGAATCTCCGAACCAATGCTATTTTTAGGCTCCTAGTTCCTTAATACTAGGTGGCGACTCCAAACACTATAAATAAATTTGAAAATAATTAAAACTAGAATTTAATTTCAAGGAGTCCCGTCCGACGTCGGGGAGCGATACCTATTTCGAAAACTAGAAGATATATAATAAAAGAAATCAAGTATTAAAATCTCAAGGTGATTATTTATACCGAGTCTCATAAACTTTTCAAGTGAAGGAAGAATTCGTAAAAATGTCATTCTTATCAAGATTCTATGACAACTAAGAAGAAAATGAGTGTACTGCCCTGAATATTTACTCTGCTCATGCACAAAACTTCCAATAAATGTCCACCTATTTTTGAATGTAGACTATAAGTTGTTGAAGATGAAACAAATTTAAAATAACTAAATAGTGTATCCAGTTTCAACAAGAAAAAAATCACAATCATTTATGACGTCTAAGCATTTTTCAAACAAATACATATACGGTGTTCATTCGGTTTTTAGTTCGATTTTCGATTAATTAAATTTTTAAAAATAAAAACCCAAACCAAACTATAATGCTTTTTTTTTTTGTTAGAAAATCAAAATTTCGATTTTAATTTTTGGTTAATTTAGTTTAAAAAAAATAAATTGGTAACTTTTTTGTGCATATCCAGTATATTTTTCATGAGCACATACTGTATAGAAACAACGAATTCAAACAAGTAAACAACTACAATGCATTCAAACAAAACTTACAGCACATACTGAAGTTCGAAGTTTCAATATTTTTTTTAAACCCCACAAAATAAATGCAAGAAGAAAGGATAATAACATCAAATTAAGTTTAGTATCAAGTGCAAAATTTTCCAGACTATAGAAATCCAAAACCATTGATTGTTATTATAAACCAAACTAATAAACTTCAAATAACAATCAAAAGTTTAATATATATATATATAATCGGTTTTCAAAAACCATTGATTATTAAAATATATTATAAATGAAACTTCTCAAAAGTTTAATATATATATAATCGATTTTCAGTGAAAACCAAACTAAAAATTTCTAAAACCGAATTGAAATTGAAAAAAAAATAATCAGTTTTTTAGTTAAAAATTAAATAAAAATTGATATTTTAATTTGACTTTTCATTTAACCGAATACTACTCTCTTCTACCAATTATAAAATAATCATTAAAATTCGAATTTGTTTAACTTAGAAAAATTATAAACTATACAATAATTAGACTACATCGATACGCTTTAAGTGACAAATAGTTAGATAATTTATGGGTCTAACATATATTACTTCACATCAGAACTTAGCATTAATGTAAATTGTGAATGAAAAATTGGCAGCATAAATTATGAAAGAAAATTTTGGGAAATGATCATGATTTAATATAAAAAATTCTATACAGTTTAGCAGCTGGGGGACCCATGATATTAGCTAAAGTCCTAATGGGTTGATATTGGTCTTTTTCTTTTTCCTGACCGGTATATTTCTGAAGCCTGTTCACAGTTTACGATGCATCAATCCGTACACAGTCACAAGTGCCGTGATAAAGGAATGATCAACATGAGGCTCCACTGCCAAGGTTAGTACATCATCTCCTAATAATACTCCTTCAGATGATTGCTTTCGCTTGGCCTGCACAAACATCAACCACAAAAACTAAACGTTAATAACATTGCCTAATGAGGTAAGATTTATAGAGACTAGACTATATAATATAAAGCCGAGTCCCAAATCATTAATTTATATTTCAGGGAAAATCAAAAGCATACCTCTGCAACAATTTCCCCGTTGCTGTTTGTAACCTTGAATGCTAATTTTCCAGCTAAGGTTTCTAACTTGTAGTGGAAAGTCTCTTGAGCATCCCTGGATCGAACAGTAATTTGACAAGATAAATCACCTTCAAATATTTCTGAACTTCTTTTAATTTGGAAATAAGGCTTTTGAGTTTTTAATTTTAAGCCATCACTTTTATAACCCCTCCATCGTCTGAAAAGGAATAGTTTCTGCACAAATTAAAGAAAAAACAAGTTAATCTTCGTGACGAAAGGGCAGCTAGCACTCTTGAAGAGGATCAGACTGATAATAATTCGAAATCATGAACCTACCCTTCTAAGTATAGTGAAAAGGACATTGCCTTTGAGATCCATGAGATAAACTTCATTGCTTCCTTTCTTGTCATAATTATCAACTCGGTAAACAATCTCGCCATTTTCATTAAAAACTGTGCATCCATTTGTTTGCATCACAAGTGATTTCATCCATATAGTGAATGTTTCTGACTTTGAAGACATATAAGAAGTACTAGAGGGAGAGAAAGAAGGAGATTCAACTTGTGGGAAAGCGTGAACCTTAGCCATTTGAATCAAGCTTGGTTAGCTAGTAGCGGATGAAGAGTTAGCTCTGGTGGTTCCTTGGATTTATGAAGATACTTGATGCGTTCAGAGTGAGAACTTGATGATGTTTATGCGGTTTGTAATATGTATATATAGTGAAGCCAACGGAAGAGGAGAATAAATGAAATAAAATAAAGATATTTCTGCTTATAAATATTTATGTAAATAATGTCACACGTTTATGGTATGCATAGGTCTTTACTCGTTGGTGTACTTGAGTAAGGTGCTACGTACGAAGGTTCTCATCTAGCACTACAGTTCCTTTCTTGTTTTCTTCACTTGGCAGAATTTCTTTTCATTATCTAAATGGCTCTGCTGACATGAGAAACAGCAACTTGCTGCTTGAACTGATCAGCGCCATCCTTTGTTTTTGCTTAAACCATGTGTGTTTCCACGGTTTAATTAATTAAATGAAATCCAATCGCTGTTCTGTTTGTGCTTGTACAATATAATAACAGATATTGATTATCTGTCAAAGACTCAATCCACAGCTGTTGTAACAATCAGATACTGTATATTCAAATTTTATAATTCTTTTTATCTCGGCTAGTAACTAGGCTTCCGTTTGTAATTCTCCAGTATTTATTCCTTCCATTCCATTTAATGAAATATGTCCTACACTTCTATCATCTTACACTTTTGAAATGGTATCAGAGCATCTAGCCTGATTTCCAATCCTTTTTTTTTTTTTTTTTTCCTTTTCCTTCTTTCCTTCTCTCATTTTCCAATTACTACCAACAACACAAACCCAATCCACAACACAAACGATTCTCATAGGACATTAATCAGTAATAATGTTGCAGCTCGAACCCCATTAAAGCTTCCCACAAGCAATTGTGTATCCTGGAAACTCCAATTTAGTTCCCTACTCATTGGGTATGATCTCTTAGGCTACATCGACGGATCCAAACCTTGCCCAAACAAAACTATCAACGGCACCACCACACCAAATCTAGATTATATAATGCTGGGTTAGACAAGATCAACTTCTTCTTAATGCCATCCTTGGTTCTCTGTCCCCCACAATTGTTTCTTTCATTTTTGAAGCAAAAACATCAAGAGAAGTTTGGACAATTTTGGCCAACATATATGCCAAACCATCCTATGGGCAAATTAAGCGGTGAAAAATCAATTAAAGCAAGTCACTAAGGACTCGATGAGTATAACTGAATTCCTCCATACCTGTCAAAGCTAAAGATAATGAATTTGCAATCCTTAGTGCACCGGTTGATGAAGAAGACTTGTCGAATAGAATTCTTGAGGGACTTAGAGATGATTACGGAAAGCCGATTCGTGCTATTCAAGTTAGAGACACCCTAATCTCATTTGATGAACTACATGAAAAGCTTCTAAATTTTGAAGCATCCCTCCAAGGTATCAACAAAATAGAGTTCTCTTATTTCTCTCGCTACCGCTAATGCAACAACTTGCACCAACAATAGGTGGCGCAACTCATCAAATTCTAATCCAACCTTAACTAAAAACAACAATTGGTGTTCATCCTCAACCCTTGGTAGCAATAATTCTAGATCCGACGGTGGCCCTCTAAAACCCTACCTTGGTTACTATCAAATCTATAGAATACAAGGACACACCGCCAAGCGCCGCCCCTCATTTAGACCGTTACCGATTCAATCTTCCAACACTACAAGTGCAACAATCCCAAACTCCTCATGGTAACCCAAAGCAAACTTTGCTGGAAACAACTCCAATTCTCCCACATGGCTCCTCGATAGTGGTGCTTCTCATCATGCCACCTTCGATTTGAGCAATCTATCACTTTATGCACCTTACAAAGGCATCGATGACATTATGATTGGAGATGGCACGGGGCTTCCTATAACCCATACTCGGTTCCACCACTCTCAAAACTTCAAATGCTCAATTCTCTTTAAATAATATTCTTTGTGTACCTAGCTTGAAAAGAAACTCGATTTCAATTTCTCAATTTTGCATTTCTAACAAAGTCTCTATTGAATTCTTACCATACTCTTTTCTTGTGAAGGATCTTTGCACGGGAGCAATGCTTTTGAAGGGCCAAACTTAGGATGGTCTATGAGTGGCCGAATCCTCACCTATATTTGCCTTTTCTTTTCTAGTGTCAAAACCACTTCGTTCGAGGGGCACAATAGATTGGGACACCCTGCTCTTCCTATTTTAAAGCATGTTGTTTCTAGCAATAATTTAGACTTGTCATCTTCCATTCCATTGCATTTGTCCCGCAACTCATGTTATTGCAATAAGAGTCATAAACTCTCTTTTTCTAACTTTATTATTGCTTCTCATCGACCACTTCAAATAATTTTCTCTAATGTATGGACTTCACTAGTTATTTCCTATGATGCCGTGGCCGCTCTCTAATATATGTGGCCATAGGCAAAATAATATTTTAGAGACTTTTTCTTAAAATAAATAAATATTAAATATTATTTAAATATTATTTTTCTTGCTTTCTAAGATGCAAAATCTCTAATTAAATTTTTGTATTCAAGTTTACAAAGCAAATCTTTTTCAATTGATAATATAGCCAAATTACTTAATCTTTCATGTGACATAGTTGAATGTAAATAAGATTTTATTAATTTTAATTTTGAAAAACTTCTTTCAGTTGAAGCTACGATAACAAGGATAGTTAATAGTATTCTATATGCTATCCATGCATTTGAAAAAGAATTTACCTTTTTTATAAAATTTAGTACGGCAAGTGGTGTTTTCATTTCCATAGTTATAATTTCTTTTAAAATTTTAATTCGGAAAATAAATCTAAACCATCAATATCGGAAAGCATATCGTGCTTTAGAAAGTTTTCAAGATTAAATTTTTTTTTCAAAATATCATCATCGAGTGATTTTAATTTTTCTACACTATAAAAAAAACCAAAATTATCTTCATATGTTTTAAATTGTTTAAACCTATTTTGAAGAGAGGAAATCACATGATCAACTAAATATGTAAAATAATTAATTCTAAAAGATTCTTCAATAGATAATTTCATATCTTCATTTTCAATCTCATCAAATTTTTTATTTCTTCTTATTGTACGCTTTTCACAAAATTTTGGTTCTATATTCATTTGCTCTGCAATTTCCTTAGCCAAGATCATAGAAGATGTAAACCCATTTTCTCTATAGCTTTTTAAAAAAGAAATAAGACCTTTCAAGTGGTCTATTGCAAGAGCAATATCAATATCTTTAGATTGTAAATATTTACTAACCGTATTAACAACAAACAACATATCATACCAAATAATCATGCCTAATAGAAATTTAAAATTTTCAATCTCATATTAGAAAAGGTTTTATAAGAGATCCCCGATTGGTTGGAGAAAGAAAGGAATATAATAAAAAAATTTGAATATCTAAAAATTGTTTCACTTATAAATATTTTTCTAAAACTTTTCTATAAGTAAAAGTGGAGGTCTGTAGCTTTTAATTTATCTCATTCTTTTAGGGTGTAGGTTTAGGGTAAAATTTTAATTGGGGCCCTCCTTTCTATAGGGTTAGGGTAAAATTTTAATTGGGGCCCTCCTTTCTATAGGGGCCTTAGGCATAGGCCTTAATGGCCTATGCCTTGAGCCGACTCCCGTATGATGGCTTTAAATATTATGTTATTTTTGTTGATCATTATACTAGATATATCCGGTTTTATCCACTAAAAAACAAATCGGATGTGAAAGACATATTTATTCGATTCAAAGCCATTATAGAAAAATGTTTTAACCAAAACATCCATACGAGTTTATTCGATATTGGTGGAGAATATATTAATCTCTTTAATTTTCTTGCTCTTCGGGGTATATGTCATCTCACTACTCCACCACACACATCGGAACACAATCGTTTCTCTAAAACATGTCATCTCCATATTGTGGAAATAGGTCTCACTCTTCTCTCCCACGCCTCTATTCCTATAACTTATTGGTCTAAATCCTTTGCGACCGTAGTGTATTTGATCAATTGAATGCCAACTCCAACATTAAATCTCATTTCTCCATATGAATTTTTTTTTTGGTTTTTCACCTAATTACTCGAAACTCAAAATCTTTGGCTATTTTTGCTATCCATGGCTTCGTCCATATACCGATCACATATTAGAATCTCGCTCCAAACCATGTGTTTTTCTTAGGTACTCTCTAACTCAAACTGCATATCTTTGTCTTGATCCCTCAACATCAAAAGTCTATGTGTCTAGGCATGTTAGGTTCATTGAGTCTATTTTTCCTTTTAAATCCTTACATACACAATCTCTTCGTCCCGAGTCTACCATTGTTTCAACTTGGATTCCACCAATAATAAAAGTGAAAAAAAATACACCATCACTCATGCCACCATTTACGGTTAACACTAAAAGGCAACTCCAATGCGGACCTCCAACACAATTACAAACAAAAACTAGTAACTAGCTAATCAATAAACTCAAACACAAGACATAAGACCAAACCGTTACATGCAAACAATGTCCAAAAATAACATTCACGAGACTCATTTAAAAGCTTAACCTTTATACCCAACTATCCCAATCTCCGAATGTTAAACCTACTATACTAACTCAAGCACTCAAAGAACCCAAATGGCATCGAGGCTATGTCCGAAGAATATGATGCTCTTGTTCGAAATGACATTTAGGATTCGATCCCAATCAAAATGTTATGGGTTGTAAATGGATTTTTCGTACTAAATGAAATTCGATGGCTCTATTGACAAGTTTAAGGCTTGTTTGGTTGCAAAGAGTTTTCATCAACAACCAAGGTTTGAATATTTTAATACTTTCGAGTCCAGTTTCAAGCCTACCACAATTAGACGGGTTCTTAGTCTTGCGGTAAGTCATGGATGGACCATTCATCAACTAGATGTCAATAATGCCTTTTTGTAAGGTCACCTCGGTGAAGCTCGTGTACATGAATCAACCACCGAGCGTCATTGATCAAGACTTCCCATTATATGTTTGCAAACTAAGGAAAGCAATTTATGGACTGAAACAAGCCCCTTAAGGCTAGTATCAAGAACTTCTCATTTTTCTTCTTTAAATTGGCTTTAACAACTCACACTTAGATACGTCTCTATTTGTGTATAAATTTGGTGCCCATCTACTTTATTTACTAGTATATGTTGATGATCTCCTCATTACCGGGGATGATGCAAAAATGGTAAATCAATTTATTCGGTTGCTTGTAAAATGATTCTCACTCAAAAATATTAGAAACCTCTCTTATTTTCTTGGAGTGGAAATTATTCCTAATAAGCATGGCACCTCGCTTTCTCAATAAAGATATTTGTTAGACTTCTTGCTTGTACTCATATGTCCGAAGCAAAGCCGGTTCGGACTCCTCTACTAACAAGCTCCACACTCTCGCTACACTCGAGGGCTAATTTATTTGAGCCAATAGAATTTTGAGTATTGGTGAGTAGTCTCCAATACCTTCTTCTCACAAGGCTTGACATAGCCTTCGTCATTAATAAACTCTCTCGGTTTATGCATAAACCCACAATCGAGCACCTGGACTCTTGTGAAGCGTCTACTTTGTTACCTTCTTGGAACTATTAATCACGAGTCTTTAGCTTTACCGCAACTCTCCCACTTCTCTGCATGCTTTCTCCGATGCTAATTGGGTGGGAGATAAAGATACCTTGTGCTCCACTCGGTGCTTATATTGTTTATCTAGGAAGAAATCCAATCTTATGGAGTTCAAAGAAACAACGAACTATATCTCATTCATCAACCGAAGCTGAATACCATTCGATTGCTAATACCATTGTTGAAATAAATTGGTTGTGCTCTTTGCTCATTAATCTCGACGTTCGACTTCAAACTTGTCCTGTGATTTATTGTGATAACATTAGGACAAATCGGTTATGTTCTAATTCAATTTTTCATTCTAGGATGAAACATGTGGCTATTGAATTTCATTTTATTCGTGATCAAGTTCAAAATAAGGCTATTCGGGTTGTTGATCAACTAGCGGATGTTCTTACCAAGCCACTTCCATGAACTCTTTTTCTATTTTTAATAGACAAGATGACCCTCTCTTGTCGAGCTCCATCTTGAGAGGGTATCATAACGGATATTGATTATCTCGTCAAAGACTCAATCCACAATTTGTTGTAACAACCAGATAGACACTATATATTCAAATTTTGTAATTCTTTTTATCTTGGCTAGTAACTAGGCTTTCGTTTGTAATTATCCGGTATATATTCCTTCCATTTCATTCAATGAAATATATCTTACAATTCTATCATCTTACGCTTCTATCACAATATAATTTATTTATTGTCTATTCGTGCACTAACACAAAGGAAGAAACAAGACAAATTAATAGTCATACAGATAGTTTTTTATTATGATTATTATTATTGCTTGTACGTAGAAAATATAGATCATGGTTCCTTCCCTTTAATTTTGGAAAATGATCTCAACCTCTCATCCCAATATATTTAATATTTTTTTTACCAGAAAAGAGATTTAATACTAATGATAGTGCATTGTAATTATAATTTTTATAAGACTCAAATAAGAATAACAAACATAAAAATTAAATCTAATCGAATGAAAATAAATTCGATAAATATTATAACTATCAAAACTTCATGTAGTATCTCCTCCTCTCAATTTTAAAATTTTTCTAACGAGTTATCTGAATTTTCTCTTTATAGACTGTACATAATTGATTTTTTTTATGTGTCTTAATTTTAAAAATCTATTGCTGTTAATGAGAGAACAAGTTGCACTACTAATTAAATTCTATTGACAGAAAAAGCAGTACTGCTATCAGACAAAAAAGCCTCTCTCCAAGAAAAGATCTAATAAATTCATCACTTCAAATCCAAATATAATTGTAAATTTATTATTCAATTCACCATGAATCCTTTAACAAACATGCACACACACATAAAAGACAAAAAACCTCAATAGTTAAGGGCCTAAAAAAAAAAAAAAAAACCATAAAAGTTAGATCACTTGTATTTAAATTCAAAATTAGTTGAACTCTTGAAGACATCAAATTTAGATATGGAATTATTAAAAAGAAAATAATAATAAATAAAAAGCAGTGTAAAAGAAAAAGGAATTGCCGTCGGTGTAATTTTCGATTAGGACAGCCCAAAAGAATATTTTGAAGGAAGGATTGTTTAGAGGAAGAGAGAGCCAACGGTACCGGTTTTTTCTATAATTTGAGGACTACTAACTTCTTTATTATATGCCATCTAATTCTCTCTTGAAGGTATTAATTAAGTCCAAAAAATGGATTGGATCTCATAGTCATTCAAATGTTTTTGGAGGTGATTCCTATTATTAAGCTTTTGAGTTTTAATTTATTGATTCTAGTTGTTCATTCAAAGATACCTTCACTACCCTGTATTTAAAAGATTAGGCCACATAGTTTAATGCTCTTGTAGTTTGCTCAACAAGCAAAAAAAACTCGGTTTTCTGGGTCTGGTAATGGAAAGAAACCTTCTTGGCTTTGTGTGTCTCTGCAAGAGTAATAGCTCGTTATCTTTCCATGGAATCTTAATTTTTTCTATTTATTAAAAAATCAGAAATAAATTGAAAAGTTTGAAAATAATTAAGTTACAAAAAACATAAAAAAATATAGAGATTAAATAATTAGTTTTGAAACAGAATGGGCTAATTAATTTATTTCTTGAAACCTATGAACTAATTTATAATTTACTCTAAATAGACCCTACAGCTCACAGTCAATGTTTAGATGATTAGGAGGCTAGTGTTAGTAATTAATAGTTAATAAAAATTGATCACTACTATAGAATAAGGAGTTACTCTAGTCTTTTCTTGTGATGATTTTTTTTTTTAAATAAAAAATATGAACTCAAAATTTTTTATAAACTCAAAAAAACTCACTGCTCTAATTAAATTGCTATTGGTAGACATTCAAATTATATATAACAAGACTAAGAAGGGATATTTTGTTGTTATTTACTAGTTTTTGTGTAACAGATATGTGGTGCTGACAAGGCTAAAGGTGCTTACGATATGGACGGTGCGTGTGGCGGAAAATAAGGTACATTTGATCATTTATAGCTTCCGGAATATTGTCAAGCAGCTTTATTATGTCATGGGTGATGCATCCATTCTCTATTTCTTTTCTAATAATAATAATAATAATAATTGTTTATTCACTCATGCTCATCTGACTTCTGGGTCTTGCATTTGCATTTAAAAGAGTGTCAAACAAATACAACAAGAAAATGAAAAAAAGCCTTTATTAATTGGTTTAAGATTTTTTTTTCTTGCTTTACATTATATGTTTTAGGGGAGTTGATGTCGTGGAAAGTGATCTTCAAATATTTCTTTCTTGTTCTAGCGAACAAAATATATTGTTCAAACATTATATATATAATCAACCTGATATTCAACTAATCAATAAGAATCCTAGCCAATCTCATGAAACGAAATTGTAACTTCAAATAATCTATAGATCAGTTGAATATAATGACTCTTTAACCATCATTATCATCACCATCACTCCCAAAGCGAGGCGAGGCATTTTTTTTTTGTAATTTTGAATATTATATTTGGAAAATGTTGGCTATCTTTGAACGTGTTATTGCATTATTGGTCCATAATTTTACGCCAAATCTGAGGTTTTTTGTTTTTTTTGTTTTTTTTGTTTTTTTTTTATGGGCTACAAATTGCATTTTGTTGTGAAATATCTACTTTTTTTAATCATGGCTAGTGAGTTTTACTAACCGTTTTATTGGCAGCCAATTTTCTATTTTTCTGTTCTGTATGACAATTTTGATTATTGGCCACAACATTGTCGAAAAATAGTTTTTATTACAGACAACAATTTTTCATATTACTACAGTATACATCAATACAATTTTCACTTTCAGCAGCGGAAGTCCTTATGTTACAAAACTTTTAAACCCCATCATTTTTTTTAACTTAGGGTCTCTCTTTAAAGAAGGGCTATTAATTTTAATAAAGTTACGTCTCATTGATGGTTTAGTGATAAATTTTGTTTCCATTCTATTATGATTTGATAATTTCGAACCAATCGTATCAAATTGAATAATTCGAATTTCAAAATATTCAAAATTGAGCAAATGTAATCCAAATTGCTTAATTTTTGTTATGTGTAACCATTACTTGAAATACTAAAACAACATCGTTTCTCTATTTCGATGGTAATTATGTTTTTTAATAAATATTTTAAAAATATTTTTAACCCTCCTAATCTTGATTTTTTTAAGAACTTTTTTTCTTATAAAATATTATAAACATTTTATAAATTATATAAAAAATATTTTATAAATATTTTTAATCCCCTAATTTTGGGCCTTTTTTAAACTTTTTTTTATAAAATATTATAACATTTTATAAATTTTTTTATAATTTATAAAATCAGGGGGTCAATCTTTAATTATGCTAATTTTAATTTATAAAATATTTTTTTAATGCCTAAAATTATGTATTGTTAATTATTTTTTTACAATAAAATTTTATATAAAATATATTTTTAAAAAAGTTCAAAATTAGGGGGTTAAAAACATTTATAAGATATTTTTTTATAATTTATAAAATGTTTATAATATTTTATAAAAAACATTTTTTTAAAGAAAGTTCAAGATTAGAGAGGTTAAAAATATTTTAAAAAAACATTAATTAACAGTAAAATGTTAAAACGACATTTTTTTTAACATTTCATGTAACGATAAACCTAGTTGACTCGTTATATATAATAGAGATTAAATAATTTGAATTATATTTGTCCAATCTTCAATACTTTGGAATTTAAATTACATAATTTGATATCATATATTCGAAATTGACAAATTGCAATAGAATGGAAGTAAAATTTGCTATTAAACCTCTCATTGAGAAAAAAGTGATAATTTTCTTCTGTTTTCCCTCTTTTTCTAGCATGAACTGAATACATTTCTTTGTATAGCACCTATTTAATTTGGGAACTCCACTACATACGGAGGGCTAGTTTTAGCATACGCCTTTGGTCTAAAATATTCAAAATCTAAATCAAATCACAAAAAGGGGAAAATGATGATGTACTAGCTCTTTTTTTTTTTTTTTTTGGATAAAATGTTCAAGCTCTGATTAATTAGCCACGAATGCCTCATATATAATTACACGAAATTATGCAATTATATATGTAAAGAGTTCTCAATATTTTTTTATGTTCAATGCAGGAAATGAAAAAAATTAGGATTTAAGAAGTTACAGTCTCTCATGATGAGGTACTAATAATTTCATCCAACAGTAAATATGGTATTTGTAACATTGCTTGGAGAGAAATGTCCATATGAATGTATCCAAGAGAGAGAGAGAGAGAGATGCGTACGCAGCTCTCTTACAATGAAATATCCATTATCAACGTTAGCTAGCTTCGGAATAATCCCTTAATTGGTGAAAATGCCATGATAATAATGTTGCTGATGTCCTCGCGGAGTGGCTATATCTAAATGAATTCTATTTAGCGATTTCAGTGGCACAGAATCCATCTAGTTTTCAATTTTGATTAGCAACTACAAGTGTCACATTCAGGATCTCCATTTGTTTATGCAAACGTGTTTGGCACTATTCTAACTTCTATAGTAGACAGTGACCATATATGTAGCTGGATAGCACAGCTGTGCTTGTAAATATCAAACCTTATGACAAGACTTGGACGTCGAAGGATCTGCAGAAAAATTGTTAGTTGGGGACCGGTCGGCATGTTGGACTGTTTTGAAAGCACGCTTCGTATTGCAGGCTATATGGACCTCCAAATACATTCTATTAGTGCTCATGAGTATCATTCAACGTTCAAATCAAATTGATGTGATAGAAATTTGATAATGAATGAATCAACGCATGAATTAAGAACTTACCTCACACGTTGGACCCTTTCATCAGATAATCCAGAAGGAGTAGATGAATATTTGAGTATGTACAACTCTATTGGCCGTTTTTACAAAGATATTTTGCTAGCAAAAGACAACAAATGATTACAAAGAACATGTATATATATATCATTAACAACATTTCGTGATCATAATACACTTTACGGATCCTAATACTCTTCTCTCCCCTTGTTGCCTCCACATCGGCCAAGTCATTGGCTTCTGATATTTTACTACCGGAAAATATGAACATGATCAAAACACAACAATAAAAAGGAAAGTTATGAACAAGCTCAAAGTTAGAACCCTACATATGAAAACTGGGATTGCATGCCATCTCAGTGTGCATCAAATTAATAGATAATAAGTAATATTCTACAGTGTATAATTGATCAATCCATAGACAGTCACAATTGCCATTATCAGGGAATGATCTACGTGAGGCTCCACAGCTAAAGTTAGCACATCATTGCCCAGTGTGATTCCTGAAGATAATTGTTTTTGCTTCACCTGCATCAAATCAACAATCTGAAGAATTTAAACCTTAAATTTGCCTTCGAAACGACGAAAGGTTAAAATAAATATGCAAAAACGGAATACTAACCTCTGCAATAGCATCTCCATCGATGTCTACGATTCTGAATGCTGTTTTGCTTGCCATTTTCACTACCCAATACTTGTCAAATCCTACAGTAACTTGACAGGCAAAACTTCCCGTACAAATAAATCTGCAATATTTTTTCACTTGAAACCATGGCTTCTCCTTGTTGGCATCAGAATTCCATCTATGACCATACCAACATCCAAAAATTTGTAACCTCTGCATGGATATCGATAAAAATTAAAAATATAATAAAAAAACCCATTTATGAACATGATCAAGAAATTGCATCAAACCAATATTACTCACAAACAAATACAAGATCGATTCTTTTTTTCCCCTTTGCAATCAATACCTTTCTTCGTATTGTAACAAGAACTCTGCCTCGAAGATCCATGAGATAGACCTTATTGCTGCACTTCTTGTCATAGTTGTCGACGCGATAAATAATGTCTCCATTGGAATCAAAGACAGTGCAACCGTTAGTTTGGCACAGAAGTGATTTCATCCATACGGTGAATGTTTCTCTTTGAAAAGACACGAAAGGCTCTAACATAGGACTCTGACGCTGAGGAAAAACTTTAGCCATTAACGTAAGGAAAGAAACTTGGTTTTGAAAACGGAGAGGAATGTGTGCAGGCCTAACTAATTTATGTTCCAAAGAATTTGGCGTGCCGCGGTTCAATTGATTATTGTTTATTTAATTGGATTATACCGCGCGTGGGAGACAATTGTGGAAGTCAACTATAGTTCTGCTTTGGCGGTTCTAGAAATTAAAAATAGATCGATTGTTGGTGTGGAATATACTTTTTACAAATGTACTACAGGTGGATGACATGTCAGCAACTTAACCCTAATGAGCATAAGACTCTAATATAGAAGACATGATTAAAACACTTGCTGCCAATGCATAACACAACAACTTGCCTTTCACCTGCTGCTGCTATTTATCAATCAAAGGCATTGCCATTGGATAATAAATTGTTACAAACTATACTATATATAATTATAAAGATCGAATACAAAAGGGGGTTTGTTGTTCATCAAGCACAACATAAGATTTTTATTCAAGGCTTATTTCTTAAAACAAATATATCTCACCCATTAGAACGCAGTCCAGTCAGAAATACATGAAATTCTGACTTCCTATGGAGTCATCAGTAGTCTTCTTCAATCCTAAGTTGTTTAATTTCTTTTTGCTTTTTCTGCCGCGATTATTGCATCACTGTTACGTTACTTTATCTTTGACCTTCCTACCAAATTTTATTAATTTCTTTGTTTTCCTTTCCTCCCATCTTTCTAACAAAATTTGAAGAGCCTCCAATCAAGATGGGATGGTACAAATTAATTGGTCAGAAGTGAGTCAAAACTGAAGGCGTATATATGCTAGCTAAGAATAAGAGGTAATTAGAACTTAGTCCCTGTAGTTTACCATAATTAATTAATTAGTGCGTTTAGCACAAAAATAATTAACTAAAATCCTTTAACCAAATTTGATCATCCTTATTTTAGTAGGCTTTTATTCCAAAAATACCTTATTTCTTAATCAATTGTTCTCTCATCTCTCCTACTTCTCTTATATATATATATATATATATATATATGCGCTCCAAAAAAAGAAAAAGATAAATTGAAAAAAGATGAAAGGAATGCATTATAGTTGGATTTAAGACTACAGGGATAAAATAATTGTTTTTGAAACTAGAAAGACTTATCAAATTAATTTTACTAAACTATAGGGATTAAATTATAATTAAATTCTTCCGATTAGGCACATATAAGTGATGCTTGCATGTCAATTCGGTGAAAGACCAGTGTATGTTTTGTCTGATGTATATATTCTAATTAGCAAGCATTGAGCGCAACCTCTTTTTTCTTGACGAGTGATTAAATACCTTATCTATGGAGTTTTTTTTTTTCAGGAATAAGAAAACCAGAACTATATAAGAACGGTTCATAACAACTTCCATAGGCCTTAGCATCAGTCTGGAGGTGGATTAACTAACTAACTAACTAACTATATATATATATTACCTTGAGCAAACATTTTAAAATGGTGAAGCTTAAATTAAGCTTACACGAAACACTGCTAAACTTTATTTGTGCACATATTTCGATCAGTACGTATTATTTTATAATTTATGATGAACTTTGTCCACTTTTGATATTTACGTATATGATTGTATGATAAATTTTAAAATAGTCAAACATTAACTATTAATAATTGCTTCCTGAACCGATTTTGAAAAACAGATACATGAAAATAAAAATTACATCTGAAATTATAAAAAAATAATAAAATTCTTTTTATACTGAATTAATTTTTTTAATTCTCTCTTTTTATATTTATCTTCTTCTTTTTTTATAAAGTAAGTATTATTATTCGCTCTTGAAATACTATTAAATTTTAGGAATAATTTTACGAATATTAATCTTATAAATCTCCTGGGAACAAATTAAAAAGCAAAAATTTTTGGCATGTGCTTTAATTGTATATAGACTATATATAGACTAAAGCGATCCTAACTTATACAATAACATGAATGTGTTATGTCTGATCAAGTTAATTAAAGACATTATTAATTAAAAAAATCAAGATAACACTAATATTAATTTCAACAAATCATTTATTTTGAAACACGTGAATGGGTTAAAAACGAGTATGGCTAAAACTAATTCATCGAGGCGTCTATAAACCCATTCTGCGAGTAAACATGCTATTATATACAAAAGAAAAACGGCGCATGCTATGATAACGTATCCAAAAAAGGACAAGAAATGATAGAGAATGCACCCATGTTGGTGATTTCTCTAGTACTGTATAAATGTCTAATCCTATCCTTTTAATACTGTTTTAATAATAAAATAATAATCTGTCTGTCCGTGTCTAAGTGGATATGGATCTAGAAAGGGAACAATAGAAATATGTCTATATTCAACAGCCATTTACTAGAGTTCTATCCTTCTTATATTGTCCCCAATGAAGCACTTGCATGCATTTGATGTGTAAATCCACCTAAAAAAATAAAATAAGAGAAGTGGATTAAGATTCCGGATCAGCAGCTCCACTTATTGCTTACAATCCATATGTTGAATCGATCTGTATTTTTCCTTTCTTTTTTTTTTTTTTTTTTACTCACGATATATAGCTTTTTTATTGATCCAATCTCGTAACGGGTAAGTGGGGTTACATAGATAGCATTTTCTGTACGACCACTTCCATCCATACAAAACTTTGATGATGGGAAATAAATATTTTTTTCATGCATATACTACCTAATTAGGGACTATTTATTTATTTATTTATTGAGTTACTCCTTAGGAGTATGGAATACTGAGCGCGTATAGACTGAAGAAATTGCACATATAGCACATGGATTCGATTTGGATTTCTTTTTTGGCTAATAATGTATACACTTTCCACGATAGCAAGGTGTCTTCTCAAGGTACTTCATCTTACAATAATGCGTTGGAGCCATTTTACTTTCACAATATTATTAAGAAGAAAGAAAAGAGAAGTGGCAGCCTGCTTTACTAACACATGCATTTGACCAAACTTGCACACGTGTAGATCTAACATAAGAAATAAAAAAAATAACAACGGAATTATGTTCTTCACTAATTCAGTTGAAATCATTTCTGAAAGTAACGAATACAAAAAAGTTGAGCAAAGTATAAATTAATCCTTTTAGTTTAAAGAAACAAATTAATTAGTGTTTTTAATTTTAAAAACTATTATTTGATTTTTTTTTACTAATGTTAATTATATTTAATTAAATATTTTTTTCATTTTATAAAATATTTTTTCTCCTCAATCTTTTCATATTTTTTTATTTTTTAAAATTAAAATCAAAATAAATTAAAAAAAGTTACGGATAGATTTAAAAAGATAAAGATTAAATGGTTAATTTTTAAAATAAAAGAGCCTGTTTAATTTTTTTAATTAAAATGAGAAGGATTAATTTATAATTTAATCTAAAAAAGTTCCAAGCATTTTTTTCTTTTTGGAACAAAATTTAAGTTTGGATAGTTGACTTTTAAAATAGAAGTTGGACTTTCAGCCAGAAGCTTAATAAAAAGCACGTACGAAATCATGATTCACATGCTAGCTTATAACTAGAGTTCTAAATAAACTGCAAAATAGTTTTCTTATAAAATAATAATAATAATAATAATAATAGTGGAATGTTGGATAATCAACCAAGGCAACAGCCTCGGTCTACTATAGGATGGTTAAAATTGATGGATATGTCCTATCCATCATGAGTTCTGTTTAAATTTCTTTCTGAATGCATTTTATAACTTTATTAAAGGAAAAATGTTTGTTTTTTTTTAAAAAAAAAAAAAAGGGGAAGAGGAAGCGTTACTTTTTAATCACGAAAAAAGAAAATATTATATATATAGTTAGTTAGTCATAAGTTCGGTTTCCACACTAAATATTATATTTAATAAAATAAGAGTTATATGTACAGTTAGCCTTTTGCAGTCAAAAAGTCAATTATAATTTTATTTCCATGTTTTTATTTAGGGGGAGCAATCAAATAATTCTTTTTAAGTACTTACAAAGATTTTCCTCTTTTTTTTTATTTACTAACGAGGAGGTAGAAGTCAAGGCCATAATAAACAAATACCAATATCACTAGACAAAATATCTTCAATGCCAGGCGGAAAATGATTCCAAACAAGAAAGAAAGTGTCATTCAAAGAACCAATATAAACGAGATGATCAATCTCTTGATTACGTTCCCTTAAAATATGTTATAAAGAAATATATTATTGTCATTGACAAAGACATCGGATATCAATGATGGTATTAGTAGAGATGAGTATGTGAAATTTCATTGCAAATAGCATTGATTGATTCTACGAGTCGATCTCCATAATCACTTTTCCAAAGCCATAATCCCAAAGTAGGATGAGCCCTTGACATATTGCTTCTAACTCAACCATCATAATAGACGGGTGCTCAATATATTCTAAAAAACTAATTTTTCAACCATAAAAGTCACATTTAAGGCCATCCATCCCGACATGTGTAGTTGAACTTAAGAAGCCGCCATTTGCATTTAACGAGTCTTGGGAGGAGGCCAACCAAGAAATTAAACATTGGAGAGTGGGCTGATGGGCGAAGGTGACCGTCAAAGGCTAAAACACGATCATGGATGAGAGAGCGAATTAGCTTAACCTAACATCCGAAGGGAAGAATATCACCTTGAATAACTTCTTTATTACATGCACACCAAATAATCCAACAAGTAAGAAAAACGAGGCGAGTGATGCTTCTAAAGAGTGGTTATATAGAAGGCATTGCCATGAAACTAGTTCTCATATGAAGCCGAGAAAAAATCGGGATAGGTAGTAATGGTATGTAGTTACCGCCAAATAAACTTAGCCAAACACAATCTCAAAGAATATGTAAACCTATTTCATGTGCCTCGCCATGCCTTTGGCACATAAGGGATGTTCACTTGCCTTTGTAGAATCAGAATACATTAGTAGGAAGGCGTTGCCACTACAATTGCCATATGAAGATTCAATGTTTATGCGTTTATTTTAGACTCCAAATGCTCTTCTAATAGGAGTTCAACT